AAAAAAAAAAAAAAAAAAAATAATATTCCCCATACACACGTACTCCTATTTGAGGGAGTAACTCTGCAAGCAGGGCTCCCCAAGAGAGATTCCTGCCATGAAATCTACTTCAGAGAGCAAAGGACAGAGCGTGTCCAATCATCCTTGACTTATCCAGGGTACTAGTGATAAAAACAGAGAACCCAGGCGGCGCCTGTGGCTCAGTGAGTAGGGCAGCTGGCCCCATATACTGAGGGTGGCGGGTTCGAACCTGGCCCCGACCAAACTGCAACAAAAAAAAATAGCTGGGCGTTGTGGCTTATAGTCCCAGCTACTAAGGAGGCTAAGGCAACAGAATCGCCCAAACTCAAGAGTTGGAGGTTGCTGTGAGCTGGGACACCACAGCACTCCACCGAGGGTGACAAAATGAGACTCTGTCTCTAAAAAATAAATAAACAAACAAACAGAGCACCCAACCCACCCACGTATTTTGTTTTTTTCCAAAATTAGAGTGGGACATTAGTCCTTTCTCAAGCACACACTTCCTATACACTGAGAAGAAAGTGTTAAGAACATTCAAGGAGTTGGCCATGAGAATCCTGAGTGCAGAGAACTGCCACACAACTGAATTAAAGCCAGCAGAAACCAGGTTTGGGCTTTTTTTCTACTCTGCTACACAAAATCTCTGTAGTTTAATACGGTAACAATGTGAGCACTGCCCTCAAGCAGTGATCTGCCATTCAGGGCTTAGAACATTTACTTAACTGTTGCTTCTGGCCAAAAGTAACTATAGTTACTTTTAAGCAAAAGTAAGTATTTTGTACTACACATTTTCTTTTTTTCTTTTTTTTTTTGAGACAGAGTCTCCCTTTGTCATCCTAAGTAGAGTGCCGTGGTGTCACAGCTCATAGCAACCTCCAGCTCTTGGGCTTAGGTGATTCTCTTGCCTCAGCCTCCCAAGTAGCTGGGACTACAGGCACCCGCCACAATGCCAAGCTATTTTTTTTGTTGCAGTTTGGCTGGGGCTGGGTTTGAACCTGCCACCCTCAGTATACAGGGCCGGTGCCCTACCCACTGAGCCACAGGCCCCACAACACCTGCTATGTTTTTGTTGTTCTTGTTCTTGCAGTTGTCATTATCGTTTAGCAGGCTTGGGTGGGGTTTGAACCCGCTTGCCTCAGTGTATGTGGCTGGCACCATAACCACTAAGCTATGGGCGCCGAGCCTACACATTTTCTATAACCAAAACTATTTTGTGTGAGCAGTGAAGTAGGATAGTCCCTAAGGCCATGAAAATATTCATACATATCTATGTTATTCATCACTGATAACAAATGGACTCTTAGTACTACAATATCAGTCATCAGTTATGCATGATAACCAGGATTAAAGACTTGATATTTACTCTATCAATGTGATACACACTGTGAGGCAGAAAAATGCTGATCCCTTGCAAATGCCACCTTTCTCTGGCCATCCACTTATTAACCTAAGAGATTCAGGCTCAGCACTTGTAGCTCAAGTGGCTAAGGCACCAGCCATATACACCAGATCTGGCAGGTTCGAATCCTGCCCAGGCCTGCCAAACAACGACAACTACAACCAAAAAATAGCCAGGCGTTGTGGCAGGCGCCTGTAGTCCCAGCTACTTAGGAGGCTGAGGCAAGAGAATCATGCCCAGTAGTTGGAGATTGCTGTGAGCTGTGACCCTCTAACCAGGGTGATAGCTTGAGGCTCTGTCTCAAAAAAAAAAACAAAAAAAAAACAAACACTAAGGGATTCAATCCATAAAAACTGAAAGAATAAGCTTTTCAAAACTGCTCCGCACTTAAGAAGTGACTAGACAATAAAAGAAGAAAAAAAAGTGACAACAAAGAAAAAATTGCTTAATAACAATAGGAAATACCTTTGTGGAAACAGCTTCATCTCAATTCTCTGCAGCTACAAATGAGATTCTGGGAAACATTCATGCAAGAGGGGAAAGAGAGACATCTGACAAGCAGTGTTCTTAGCAAGCATTAATGTCAAATGCGGTACTTATATATTAATTTCTCTTGCTTCATTTTATTTACAGCTTACTTTTTTTTATATACAAAGACAGAGATATACCCAGGAAAATGCATTTCCCATGTTATTTCTAATAATCTCATAGCACATACAGTCTGCCTGCCTGACTCTCTTTTTACCCATGGCATTCTGCTTTGTGGGGGGACATGGAATTAAATTTTCTGGCGTACAACACTTACACAGGGGTGGTTCCTGCGGCGCAAAGGAGTAGGGCACCAGACCCATAGCCAGAGGTGACGGGTTCAAATCCAGCCCCGGCCAAAAACTGTGCCAAAAAAAAAAACCACTTACACAGATACAATTCCCAAGGTCCTTGGTGAAGACTTTGAGGGGAATGCGCTCCAGGTGATCCTTCTTTCTCTAGACTGATGTATCTAATCAAATGGAAACACTGTGTCAGATGGAATTTGCTGATGGCTTGTTTTAAAAATCAATCTATTTCACTAATATTTTCTAGATACTTACCTGCTATTTTTAAAGACAGATGAGAAGATTCAGTAAGGTCAGAGAATATTATGGTTGGAAGAAAAAAAAAATCAAGATATGAGGCATGGGCACAAAAAAGAATGGGACCTCCATGTTAAGTGGCATTTGAGAAGCACTGTCAGGCTAAGGCACCCTGGATAATGTTTTACCCTTAAAACTTCTCTGCCTTCTCTAGATGGGTCCAGCAGCTTACTGGTTAAGAACAGGGGTTCAATGCTAGTATACAAGGCCAAACCAAAGCAATGACCTTTCATGTCTTACCCATCTCTTCAATAGAGTATAAATATTTTTCTTCTTTCTTTTTTTGTAGAGACAGAGTCTTACTTTATCACCCATTTGATAGAGTGCTGTGGCGTCACACTGCTCACAGCAACCTGCAACTCCTGGCGAGTCCCTTGCCTCAGCCTCTGGAGTAGCTGGGACTATAGGCGCCTGTCACAATGCCCGGCTATTTTTTTGTTGCAGTTTGGCTGGGGCCGGGTTTGAACCCACCATACTTGGCATATAGGGCCGGTGCTCTACCCACCGAGCCACAGGCGCCGCCCTCCCTTTTTTTTTTTAAAGACAGACTCTCATTATGTTGTCCTTGGTAGAGTGCTATGGCATCACAGCTCACGGCAACCTCACACTCTTGGGCTTAAGCCATTCTCTTGCCTCAGCCTCCCTACTGTTTTTCCCCCCAAATAAGACCTGCCCACCAAATAAGCCCTAGCAGGATTTCTATGCATTTGTTAAATATAAACCCTACCCCTGATAATAAGCCCCAGTGATGGGCACGGCTATGCAGCGTATCTGCATAGCCACGCCATGCATTTCGGTGCAGAGGGGTAAGGAAGACTGAAATACCTTTTATCTGCCACAGCTCCTTTCTCTCAGCCTTTGGCACTTGGTGTGAGTTCACCTGTGGTAACCGTGGTCGCAGGCATCCTATTGCGCATGTGCGAATGGCTAAGGGAAAGGAGTTCATGCATCACTAATGCCAGCCCCACCAACAAGGTGGGCTCCCTCTGTCAGGTTCCAGAAGGAGATGACTTAACTGTATTTGAATAAATGTAGATTGTTGTATTATACTTAATAAAAATAAGACATTCCTTGAAAATAAGCCCTAGTGTGTCTTCTTGAGAAAAAATAAATATAAGACAGTGTCTTATTTTCGGGGAAACACAGTAGTAGCTGGGACTATGGGCACCAACCATAACGTAGGACTAATTTGTTTATTTTTAGTAGAGACAGGGTCTTGGTTTGCTCAGGCTGGTCTCGAACTCCTGAGCTGAGGCAATCCTCCTGTCTCAGCTTCCCACAGTGTAGTGTGTAAATCTTGGTTACCCATTGCTTCAGGAGCAGGAGAGAAGAGGAAGGAAGGCAGGACTACAGGTCTGGCAGATAAGCCAAAGTCTTACCATTTTAGTCTGTATGCTCAATGGTGGGGTTAATAATTGATTTTTGAGGTGTTCAGCAGAAAACTGTGCAATAAATGCAGAAACTTAATACATACTTTGAGGAAACTGTTATCTGAGTGGTAGACTGGAGACAAAAGAAAGAGATGGAAGACATTGACTGATTTCTGTCTAAAATGATCTGCCTGGGTGTGGTGGCTCACGCCTGTAATCCCAGCACTCTGGGAGGCCGAGGCAGGTGGATTGCTTGAGCTCAGGAGTTCAAAAATAGCCGGGTGTTGTGGCGGACGCCTGTAGTCCCAGCTGCTCCAGAGGCTAAGGCAAGAGAATTTCTTGAGCCCAAGAGTTTGAGGTTGCTGTGAGCTATGATGGCACATCACCCTACCAAGGGTGACAGTGGGAGACTTTGAGTAGTAGCTAGAGAAAAATCTACACAGTACCTTCTTTTAGGACAAATGAACAATTTCTACTAAGACGAGGAGGAATGGCTCGGCGCCTGTGGCTCAATCGGCTAAGGCACCAGCCACTTACACCTAAGGTGGCGGGTTCGAATCCCCAGCCCAGGCCCGCCAAACAATGATGGCTGCAACCAAAAAATGGCCGGGTGTTGTTTGGCGGGCGCCTGTAGTCCCAGCTACTTGGGAGGCAGAGGCAGGAGACTCGCTTGAGCCCAGGAGTTGGAGGTTGCTGTGAGCTGTGATGCCACGGCACTCTACCCAGGGGGATAGCTTGAGGCCCCGTCTCAACAAAAAAAAAAAAAAAAAGACAAGGAGGAATAATTTGGGGCATATCTCTGCAAAAATGGTTTTAATTCATTTATTGCAGGGCAAAGATTAAAACTACAATGCTGAAAAAATACCTTTGAAGGAGAGAGAGCCATTTGTCCTTTTATTTCAGAGACCTGCAAAGAAAATGGAAGAGAAAAATCACATTATCTACTTTAACTAACACATTTCATTGCCAATCCAGATAAACATATAAATGGGGCAGTGCCTGCAGCTCAGTGGGTAGGTGCCTGCAGCTTAGTGGGTAGGTGCCCGCAGCTCAGTGGGTAGGGCACCAGCCACATACACTGAGGCTGGTGGGACTGAACCTGGCCTGGACCAGCTAAAACAGCAATGACAACTGCAACAACAACAATGACAAAATAGCCAAGAGTTGTGGTGGGCGCCTGTAGTCCCAGCTACTTGGGAGGCTGAAGCAAGAGAATTGTTTAAGTCCAAGAGTTTGAGGTTGCTGTGAGCTGGGACTCCACAGCACCCTACCCAGGGCAATGCTTGAGACTCTGTCTCAAAAAAAAAGAAAAAAGGGGGTACCCGTACCTCAGTGGGTAGGTCATCGGCCACATACATCAAGGCTGGTGGGTTCAAACTCAGCTGGGCCAGATAAAATCAACAATCACAGGGGCCGTGCCTGTGGCTAAAAGGAGTAGGGCACCGGCTCCATATACCGGAGGTGGCGGGTTCAAAAACTACAAAAAAAAAAAACAACAATGACAACTGCAACAAAAAAGTAGCTGAGCATTATGGCAAGTGCCTGTAGTCCCAGCTACTTGGGGAGGCCGAGGCAAGAGAATCATTTAAGCACAAGAGTTGGAGGTTGCTGTGAGCTGTGCTGCCATGGCACTGTACAAAGTGCAACATAGTGAGACCCTGTCCCAAAAAGAAAATATACAATGGCTTGGTGTTACTGATGTAGTTGTAGATGTAAAATGCAACCTCAGCGTAACTGTGTTCTGAAGAATCTCATGGTGAAAATGCCCCTTTCAAAAAATTGCACAGACAAGTATAGCTTTATTAAACTCTCTTGGGTGGAGGCAAGACAGACCCTCTTTTCTACTTTACTACTTTTATACAAGTGGTTTTATACCGTAAAAGGTAGATCTAACAGTGCAAAGAATACATGGTTTGGAATTCAACACCTGGATTTTCAACATCTGTCAACCTGGGTTAATTATCTGACTCAGAGTGTTTCTGTAGTTTAAAGGGCCATACAAATACAAAGTATGCTTGATACTGAGATTAAAGAGATTAAGGAGAAATCTGGCATATGGATAAAAATATCTTGGTGCAGAAACTAGGCTGTTGTCAGGAAAATAAACATTTTTGTTGTTGCTGTTGTTTTGAGACAGGGTGCCACTCTGCTGCCTTGGCTAGAGTACTGTGGTATCACAGCAGCTCACAGCAACCTCAAATCAAACTCTCAGGCTCAAGTGATCCTCTTGCCTCAGCCTCCCAAATAGCTGGGACTATAGGCTGTATAGGACATCCCTACATCCAGAGACTTTCTGCTTCCTCTCCACATGTGGTGTGCAGGCATCTTTGCTGATATAAAAACCTGGCTGCCAGGCCAGGTGAGGTAGCTCACGCCTGTAATCCTAGCACTCTAAGAGGTTGAGGCAAGTGGATTGCTTGACCTCACGAGTTTGAGACCAGCCTGAGCAAAAGTGAGACCTTGCCTCTACTAAAAATAGAAAAACTGAGACAAGAGGATCCCTTGAGCCCAAGAGTTGGAGGTTGCTGTGAGCTATGACTAAATGATACTCTACCCTCGCTCTGTCAGGGTGACAGCTTGAGACATTGACTCAAAAAACAAAAAACAAAACACCTTGTTGCTGAGAACCTACTTGGCTATTTTTAGAGACGAGGTCTTGTTTTTTTCTTTTTTGTAGAGACAGTTTCACTTTATCACCCACGGTAGAGTACCATGGAGTCAAACAGCTCACAGCAACCTCCAACTCCTGGGCTTGGGCAATTCCCTTGCCTCAGCCTCCTGAGTAGCTGGGACTACAGGCGCCTGCCACAACACCTGGCTATTTTTTTGTTGCAGTTTGTCCAGGGCCGAGTTTGAACCCGCCACCTGGGTATTTGGCGCCGCCCTCCTATGTGTTTTAAACAACGTGCCCAGTATGTCTGAGAATTACCTGTAAAATCAAGGGCAGCACCCACTGCCCTGGGGCACATAAATCCTAGGTTGTGAATTAGAGCGAGAGTAGTGAAGAGACGTGAAAGAGGGTAGTGAAGAGACGTGAAACTCCTCTGGCCTTTTTTTTTTTTCTTTTGTGGTTTTTGGCCAGGGCTGGGTTTGAACCTGCCACCTCTGGCATATGGGGCCAGTGCCCTATTCCTTTGAGCTACAGGCACCGCCCTCCTCTGGCCTTTTTTGAGATGTGACTATCTGCCCTGTTCCAGGAATGACGCATGGAAAGCTCACCTCGCATGGAAAGCTCACCTCGCTTGCTTGCTCCTTTCCCAGTTCAGCTCAGTTGGGAATTCTTCAATTCTGGCGGTTGTCAGTCTTGGATTTCAAAGCTATCCGTTTCTCCCTTTTTTTGAGACAAAATTCTTGGGCTTAAGCGATTCTCTTGCCTCAGCCTTCCAGTAGCTGGCACTACAGGCACCTGCCACAATGCCAGTTATTTTTAGTTGCAGTTGTCATTGTTGTTTAGCAGGCTGGGCCGGGTTCAAACTGGCCAGCTTCAGTGTATGTGGCTGGTGTGCTAACCATTGTGCTCCAGCACTGAGCCAACACCTTACTTTCTTAAAAAAACATCAATTTTGAAATAACTTCAGGTTTTCAGAAAATTTACAAAGATAATACAGAGAGCCCCAGTATATCTCTCACCCATTTTAAGCTTCCTATTATGTTATCCTCTTACTTTATCACAGTCCATTTGTTAAAGCTAAGAAACCAACACTGGTACAGGCAGTCCCCGATTACGAATGAGAGAGGCTCTGCAGGTTTGTTCTTTTTTTTTTTTTGAGACAGAG